TATAAAATTATCATTATATGTTGACAATATAGGGACTGATAACAGTTTATGTGGTGAAAGAATAAAAAATGAGATCAGGTAGCAAAACAAATATTTTTTAACACTTGCAATTAAATATGAATGAAGACTTTTTTCCCTCCCAGATAAGATGTAATCTAATTGTCCCTTCTTTCTAAGGGGATATAGTTATCACTTCTTCCTAAGGTATGTACAATGAGGCTAAACAATGAACAAAATGTATTGAAATAAGATAAATGGAAAAGTTTCATGAAACATTCATTATAGAAATGATAAATAGAAATGTGGTTTCCTCAGAAATTTAGCATTTTTTTTAATTCTAAAAATTGTTAATTTGATACTTTAGAAAAATTTAAAGATAAAAACCACCTTGGCTGAATCTTACCAACAACAACTTCATATTTTAGGGCATTTAAATTGGAATTAATAAATGCATTTCAATGATAAGATTATTATGACTAAGCTCTTTTAAGGAATATAGTAATATAATAAAAGTTGCCTCCATCCACGTGCACAGTTGAGTTTAGAAGGTATTTCATACGCATTTCAATTTTAGTCATCAAAACAACTCTGTTGGATAATGTAACTAGAAGAAACTACAGTGCAAAAGACTTAAGTAATTTGTTCAAATTCATATCCCCAGTGAGTTACAGAGCTGAGATTCGACAAGACTTCTGAACCCACATCTGGAGCTGTTTTCATGTCACCTTGCAACCCTACTTGATCTGGAAGAAATCTTAGTCTTATGAGGAGTGGAGTGTTTGTAATAAAAGGGAGTCATTTTTTGTGTCTATTCACTTATTTTTTATTGTGGTAAAATATACATAATATCAAAATTTCCATTCTTATCATTGTTAGTTATACAACTCATTAGCATTAAGTATATTCACAAAGTTTCACAAACATCACCAGTATCCATTTCAAGAACTTTTTCATCATCCCAAACAGAAACTTTGTACTCCATAAATAATAGCTTCCCATTCCTCGCACCTCCCACCCCCAGCTTTTGGTAATCTGGATTCTACTTTCTCTCTCTATGAATTTGCCTCTTCTATATACTTCACAAATCATATAATCATACAATATTTGCTCTGTCTAGCTTATTTCACTTAGTATAGTATTTTCAGGGTTCATTGATATTGTAGCACGAATTAGAATTTTATTCCTTTTTAAAGCTGAATAATATTCCACGGGGTGTGGTGTGTGTGTGTGTGT